TTAGAATCTGAGATTCAAAATCTGCAGCAACAGTTTGAGGCCACAGGTGATCAGCACTATGTAGGTTTAATCAAGGACAAAAATTTTGCATTGTCCAGTCTGCTTGGGGCGGCGGCACAGGGAGCTCTGGTTAGGTCCCGCTTCTATCAGGTTGCAATGATGGATGTCCCCTCATCATTTTTTTTTGGTCTAGAATGTAAAAATGGGCAAAAGAAAACTATACACTCCTTAAAATCCGACACGGGTGAGATACTGACTGATTTTGATACTATTCGGAAACATGCTGTCAGTTTCTATAGGCAGTTATATAACACTGAATATCAAGAACACCCAGCTGTGGCCCACTGTTTTTATCAAGATCTTCCTCAAGTTAGAAAGGAAACTAATGATGCACTGTCAGTGGAACTTTCACTTGCTGAGCTTCAAGATGCCCTACAGAGCATGCAAAGTGGTAAAGCTCCTGGCATTGATGGGCTCCCAGTCGATTTTTATAAATCTCTTTGGCCAGTGATTGGGGAAGACCTGCTGGCAGTACTCAGCGACAGTCTTAGCCGCAAATGCTTGTCACTGAGCTGTAGGAGAGCAGTTCTCACCCTACTGCCAAAAAAAGGTGATCTGCTATTGATAAAAAACTGGAGACCAGTGTCATTGTTATGCTCAGATTATAAGATCCTATCTAAAGTTCTTGCCAACAGACTAAGGAAGGCAATGGAAGAGGTCATTCATCCTGACCAAACTTATTGTGTACCTGGTAGACTCATTACTGACAACATAATCTTGCTCAGAGATCTTTTAGCGATCTGTAAATGTCATGGTCTAACTGCAGGTATCCTGTCACTTGGTCAGGAAAAAGCCTTTGATCGAGTTGAACATCAATATTTATGGAACACTCTACTTGCTTTTGGTTTTTCCCCTGGTTTTGTGGAACACATCAAGGTTCTATATGATAATATTGAGAGTGTACTCAAGGTCAATGGTGGCTTGTGTGCTCCTTTTCAGGTACTAAGAGGCATCAGACAGGGCTGCGCTTTATCGGGTATGCTGTACTCCCTGGCCATTGAGCCCTTGTTGCATATTTCCACCACAGATTGAGAACTGACCTTAAAGGACTATGTTTACCAGGATGTGTGTCTCCTGTAAAGTTGTCAGCCTATGCTGATGATTTGGTTGTTTTTGTTGATAATCAGAAGGACATTGATTTGTTAACAGCAGCCATTGAGCTTTTCTCTTTGATTTATTCAGCTAAAGTGAACTGGGAAAAGAGTGAGGCTTTTAGCATTGGAGATTTGGAAAAGAAACTTAAGTTACCAACAGGGTTGTTTTGGAAAATTGGAGAAATAAAATACTTGGGTGTTTTTTTAGGTGATGGAAAAACATCACTGAAAAACTGGGAGAATGTGCTGGAAAAAATCAAGGGTCGTCTCGCAAAGTGGAAGTGGATTAAAAACAAGTTGTCTTATAGAGGTCGGACTCTTATCATCAATAATCTGATTTTCTCCACTCTATGGCACCGCCTGTCTGTTATTGACCCCCCACCAGATCTACTATCCAGGATTCAAACTGTGCTTGTAAACTTTTTTTGGGACCATTTGCACTGGGTCCCTCAGAGCACCCTGTACCTGTCAAAGGACATTGGAGGACAAGGCTTGATTCACCTGGCCAGTAGAGGAGTGGCATTTCGACTAATGTTTATCCAAAGGTTTCTCTGTGGACCTACAAACTTGTTGTGGCGACCATTAGCCTGCTCCATCCTAAACCGACTTGGCGGGCTGGGACTCAACAAGACACTGTTCTTGATGGACTTGAAATGCCTTGACACCAGCACTCTACCGAGTTTCTACAAGAGCTTGTTTAAGGCCTGGAACTTGTTAAAAATTGAGAGACCAGCACACTCAGACTCTCTTCACTGGTTGCTTCAGGAACCAGTCATCTTTGGGACTCGTTTTAACAACTGCCAAATGGGAACCACGCTTGTCAAGAAGTTCCGCGAATCTGGAGTGGTGATCTGGGCAGGTGTTGACGTATGCAGGTTCGACCCTTGACAATGCTGCTGCTCTGGCCTGCCAGGTGGGGGTGAAGTCTGTTCGGGTGGTGTCTTTACTGCTCATGGATTGGAAGGCAGTTTTGTCGGACGCTGAACACGACATGCTGTATCAGTTTTCCAGCAATAATGTACTTCCTGACGCGACTGATGATTTTCCAACTGTAAACATTCTTCCAGTTTTTAATGTTCTTAGCAGATCTTTATTACAGGGTGGGATGGTTGGATCAATCTGTAAAGCTACTGGCAAACAAATGTACAGAATGTTTGTTCACATATTGCATAGAGACAAGCTCAATGCTAGAGCTGACACTGTTTGGAGGTCTCACCTTGGTCTCAGTGATGATGTTGGACCTGAATGGAGGGCACTCTACAAGCCACCACTGGCAAAAAAAGTGGCAGATTTGCAATGGAGAGTTCTACAGGGAGCCATTGCTGTAAACTCGTTTGTCTCTGTTATTAATCCCACAGTAAGTCCAGAGTGTCCCTTTTGCCTACAGAGAGAAACCGTCTTTCACTGTTTTATGCTTTGTTGTCGTTTAGTTCCTCTCTTTATTTTTCTGAGAGGTTTCTTTACATTGTGTCATGAAACCTTTTCTATGCAAATGTTCATTCTTGGTTACAGATATTCAAAGAAGTATAAAGACAAATGCCAGCTGTTTAACTTCATCGTGGCGACAGCAAAAATGGCCATTTATGTCAGCCGAAAAAACAAAATTGAGCAGTCTAGCAATGTTGATGTTGTCCTTCTACTAAAGAGGATGCTCAGGGCCCGTTTACAAATAGATTTTGATTATTATTTAAGAAAAAAACGACCTTGGTACGTTTTCAAATGTATGGGCTTTTAAAAAAGTTTTATGCAAAGTCTCAAACGGTGAACTCTCCTTTGGAACTGTACTGGATGTATAGCTACTTTGCTGGTTCTTAATTTGAATGTTGTTGCTTTTTTTTAATTTATTTTTAACCATAGGATGTTTTTTTAATGGCATCTGCATTGTTTGCAGTGTTTTTTTTTTTTTCCTCCTCTAGATTTTGTATTATGAGTGGTCCTTCATAATAAAGGTTTTCTAAAAATCTAAAAATCAAAATCAATCTCTCTCTCTCTCTCTCTCTCTCTCTCTCTCGCTCGCACGCGGTCATGTACCTATAAGTAATGAAAAATAAATGCATAAAAATAACAAAATTATCAAAAAATATATATTGAACAATAACAATCCAAACAGCATCACTACTCAACCACTTTGTGGTAAAGCTGCAAGAATAAGTCAGAGCTGCCGTCAAGCTTCAGCAGCCTGATGGCAGACAGTAAAGCAGTAAGACAGCCTGCCTGTCTTCCTGCGTGCTGCTATAAAGCAGTAGTCTGAAGGCATCAGTATGAATTCAGAAGACGTGATGTGGTTCCATCAGGATAATTTATCCCCAGTTTTGCGATGTACCTGCTTCACCCACCCACAAGGATTGCAGTTCTCTCTGCTGGACCCCAGTTATTTTGGGGCAGACTTTAACAATGCTCTGCAGGCTCTTCTTATCCTTTACAGTCCACCGAACCAACAAATAAAGGAAAAAAGTTAAATGCTTTCCATAAACTGATAAAAATTGCATAAAATTTCCTTACGGATGTTAAAAGAATTTAGCTTCCTCAGTAAATGGATTGTCTGCTGACCTTGCTTGATATAGTCAGTGTTCACGTCAAGTTTTAGTTTGGAATCAAACAGTTCTCAAATATTTGCATGAGTTCTCAATTTCCACATATTTTCCATGAATTGAGCTGAGTTTAGGCATTCTCCAATTTTTACTCAAATTCATCGCAAGCTCCTTTTCCCCTTAGAGACATTAGGATAGTTGTCCTTGCACCTGCCCGCAGAAGCAGGTAGGGCACCAGGTCTGACTCTGGACCTCGAAGAGGATTTAAGAGTGCTGTGCCATTAGAAAACTGGACCAGGAAAGACCTGCAGCTGTCTGTATACAAAATAAAAAGAAGGGATGAGCCAGACTTTTCCTTTAAAGCTTCATGTTTTCTCTCATCTTTCAGTGAAAATCTTGACTGGAGGGAAAGTTCTGACTGCAGTCAGATTCCACACCTTGAATGTGATCTGACCAACGAACTGGACCCTGTAGACCGGTAGGAACTCATTTCTCTTGTAAGCACTTTTTCTGTAAATATAATAAACACGTTTCTGAAGATTAACTTAACTTTTCAGTATGGTTTAAAAAACTTCAAAACACTGGTCCTCTGAGCACATGTAATACTGTATTTTTTTGTGTTATTGTTGGAAGACAGTAATAAATCATCTTCAGTAATGTTGACCGCACTATGTAATATTTTACGCTCGGAAAAAAAAACAGACTTTTTGATTTTAATGTAAAAACTGTCAAGCGAATTAAGATCAAAAGGCTCATTAGAATAGAATAGAATAGAATAGAATAGAATAGAATAGAAACAGCCTTTATTGTCCCACGGATGGGAAATTCAAGTGTAACAGCAGCAAAAGATAAAAAGATTCACACAAAAAGTTCCTAAAATGTAAAAAAAAAAATATATATATATATAAAGAAATAAGATAAACAATAACAATAATAATGTTCAATATGTATTGAACATTGAGAATGGCAGACTATTTACAATAAAGTAGTATATGCAGAGTGGGTGATTGAGCAGAGGTCCACTTGTATTTAATCCTTATTGCATTTGTTGTGAGCAGTGATGGTTTTAAAGTCCAACAGCTGCTGGGAGGAAGGATCTGCAGTGACACTCCTTTGTGCATTTAGGATGAAGTAATCTGTCACTGAAAGAGCTGTCCAGTTCAGCAACATTCATTCAACCTTTATTTATACAGGTTAAGCCCAATGAGCCTTGAGGACTCATTTACAAGAGAGACCTGATTTTAACAAAGAGTAATGACAACAGTGGATAACAATGACAGCAATAGACAATCGGAGGCATACATATTTTCATTTTTTTATTTTTTACAAATTAAAATAAGATGGCAAAAAAAATAGCAAAAACAGCTACGTTATAAGGCGGTGTAGAAAACTAAAAACAGGAACATGTCTGCATTGGTTCTTGCCAGGAATTCAACAGACGTTTAAAGCCACTTAGAGAGGTCAAAGGTCGAGAGCTTCATGTCTTTTTGCAAGATATTCCAGGAAACAGGAGCAGAGTAGGAGAAGGCCCTTTTGCCAAGTTCAGTCCGCATGAGGGAACACTGCATGTCCTGAGAGCTTCATGCAGCTTCATGCATGGGGTGGGAGACGTTGTCCAACATTGATGTTATTTTAGCTGGAGTCCTTCTGTCTACCTCCACCTGCACTGGGTTGAGGGGACATCCAAGCACCGAGCTGACCTTCTTGATGAGCTTATCTAGCCACTTTTTCTCAGCTGATGATAAGCTGCTGCTCCAACACACAACACCATAGAAGTTGTCTGATGCCACTACAGAGTCAAATAAGGTCTTCAGGAGCACCCCCTGCACTCCAAAAGACCGCAGTTTCCTCAGCAGGTAGAATCTTCTCTGACCCTTTCTGTAAAGTGCATCAGTGTTGTGAGACCAGTCCAGTTTATTGTTCAGGTGAACAGCCAGGTACTTATATATATATATGTTTTTTTTCATTTACCCTTTATTTATACAGGTAGTCTCCTTGAGTCACGAGAACTCATTTTCAAGAGAGACCTGTTTTTGGGAGCAGATGGTGGGGGTTAAGGACCTTGCTCAGGGGCCCAGAGTGGGGCAAATGCGGTTGGAGGCAGGTGTGGGTGTTTCACCTTTTCCACCCACATTTCGATGTTGACAGTACCAGGATTTGAACCTGCAACTTTCCGATCACAGGCCCAGCTTCTCTAACCTCTGTTCCACCACTCCCCAAGAATCCACTATCTCAATTTCCACTCCCTGGATGTTCACCGGGTTCAGTGAGGTGGGTCTGTGCCTGCGGAAATCCACCACCAGCTCCTCAGTTTTAGCTGCGTTGATCAGGAGGTGGTTCTGCTGGCACTTTATGTCTTTATGTCACTTTATGTCTATGTCAATATTTTTAAACTTTTTTCTAGGGACATACATGCACTGGAGAGTTCTAAGTCAGTGGGTCCGTCTTCTCGCTTTTCTTGGGGGAATAAGTTCAGTTCAGTTTTTTTTAATGTACTGTATGTATCAGGGCTTGGAGACTGTTCTCCTTTTCTAGCCTCTGACTGTTTTGTGTCAGGCCACTTGCCCTGACAAAGTTGGGTAGAAGGGAGTTTATTGGGGCTTTCTGGGGGTGGGGCTTTTCTGAGCTTATCGAGTCATTGGTCTCGATACAGTGAGGGTAGTCTGGTCACTTATCCTGACAAAGTGGGGGGCTTTCATCGACCAGATTGATCCTGACTTGGTCCAATGATCGGTTCGGCTCTTCTGCTGGGGTGCACTGGCTCCAATGGTACCAGATGTCGCCCTTCTCCTTGAGACGAACGGCATGCAATGTTCTCTCAACCACCTGATGAGGTCCAGTCCACCTCCGTTCAGCCCTGTAGGTGCCTGTCCACCTTGGCTCCTTCCACTTCCTTGTGATGACTTTCAGCATGACCCACTATGTGGGACCTCCCAGAGTCTTCTCTCTCCTTCTGTTTTGTCACCTTTGAATGAAAGCCTGACAGCAAGGTTCTCAATTCTTCAAAATATGATCTGTACCTGTATTCCTCCGTTACTTCTTCCAGGGTCAGAGCAGTCGGTGGACCCAGAGACTGCCTTCCTTTAACTCGCCACCTGTAATACAAAATCTGCAAATATCTTCTGCTTCACTGTCTAGACGTCTGTCTTCAGATAGTCTCTAATTTTCCTGTCTACTTCTATCCTAGCTGGTCCGCAGTGTGGATCTCCATAGGTCATGTGATGTTCCCTGTGTTTAGTTCCTGTTTGGTACTTGTAATATTTTAATCAGCTTCCTCTATCTTAATGATGTCAGTGTAAACTTCATAACAATAGGAAAATAATCACATTCAAACGTCATCAACCCAATTTCAGCCTTATAAGACAGGTTACTCTGCATTTTCCATCTCTACCACTAAATGGGGTTGTTAACATAAAGTATTTCATTGTTACTTCTTCACTGTAATGGCTTTATAGTAGAACAGCATGAATCACATTTCATTCATACTTTTGTCCCCTTTTTTCCATGTTTACAAACATGAACCTTCATAAGGATATGTTAGATTTCTTCAACAGGGTCACCTACATCCTCCGGTTCCATCTCTGCCTCCTGAAACATTCACATTCAACTTTTCTTTTCACCACCAGTGTCCCTACTCTGGATCTTCCTAGAATAAGCAAAGTTATTTTTCACAAGAAAACAGCAAAATGTAATTACAACATGCATTGAATATGAGTACTCAGAAGAGTTAAGGTTTCAAAGTTTAGTGCTGAATATTTGGCATGAGTGATGTTAATTTTTAGTTAAGATGATACATTTTATTTGGGTTACCTCCTCCTATCTGTGGGAAAAATTTTAGTAAATGCATGTGCAGAAAATATATTTTCATTGATCACCCTGTCTCTCAAAACGGTACAATACAGCATTAAACATCGAGTCTGCTAATAAATGGAGCTGGAAAAATGAGAGGAAGTCCATCCATCCATCCATCCATTATCTTTACCCGCTTATTCCATTTTGGGTCATGGCGGTCGCCGGTGCCCATGTCCAGCAATCACTGTGCGAGGGGCGGGGTACACCCTGGACGGGTCTCCAGTCCATCACAGGGACACATAGAGACAAACGAGACAAACAACCATTCACTCTCTCACTCACACCTAGGGACAATTTAGAGTTACCAATTAGCCTAACATGCATGTTTTTGGTCTGTGGGAGGAAACCGGAGCACCCGGGGAAAACCCACGCATGCACGGAGAGAACATACAAACTCCACCCAGAAAGGCCCCTGGACCGGGGTTTGAACCAAGGACCTGCTCACTGAGAGGCAGCAGCTCTACCAATTGCGCCACCGTGCTGCCTCTGATATATACAAAATAAGGTAATTTGCATACAGAGAATTTGTGTTCTGTACCTTGTCAACTTATCCTCTTAATGGTGGAGTTCTGCCACAAAGTTACTGGTTCTATCGCTAACCAAAATGATGTGGTGAAAGCGGGCACCCGTCTCGTACCTTGCTGTAGTTCATAGGAGGATATGTTACAGGTAATGAGGACCACCACCATTGGGGAGATTTAAATCAGCCTCACCCATGATACGAATTTGGGACCAAACTTAAATAACTTTAAAGTCCTGAAGAGGCAGTCCCACTCCACCCGGTCAATAATTTTTCCGCATCTAATGAAAGAATGACTTCATCACAGGTATGCTCGAGTGGACCAGGAGTGTACAGTACATCAAGTAACCACCTAACATTGAAGAAAGCCTGATGGTTTTTAAGAAACCCCTAAAAAAGGAAAATAAAGGAAACAAACAAACAAAAAAAAGAATAACAGTGACACCGTTCACTTTCACCAGTGCAGACACCTTACCAAGCTGTGCTTTACATTTTATTTACAAATGCCAGTTAATTTACCTCCAGTGTTACAAGCATTAAACCAGGACTATTCAACTAAATTGCCCAGGGGGCCACAGTTACTGAAAGCCAAGCGCTCAGGGGTCAGATATCCAGTAGTTCTTATCATTAAGTTACTTTGTTTTATAGTTAAAACTCTTGTTTTGTTTTAAAAGTGTGAACCCATTAGTGGACCAAACTTAGCTCGCCTGTGGGCCTGATTTGGCCCACGGGCCATCAGTTGAATAGCCCTGCTTCAAACTAACGTGTTGTTCCTTTTAATAAAGCCACATAGTGCTCCCATTCCCTGAACAACGGACCATTATCATAAAGTTTATCTACAGCCATCGTAGCTCTGATCAGAGTCAGTCAGAGATTCTTTATTGTCATTCGCACCTCATGTGGTACATGTGGTGGAGCGAAATTATGTACACAAGGTCCCAGTTACATCCAACAATAAAATGTACAAGAAAAACAGTAATAACATTTAAGATATGAACTAAGAAAAACATCAACTAAATATACATGCCCTCAGACATGTATTTCCTCCTGGTTGGAAACAAAACTCGCCTCCGATCGAGGATCTCTTTTGGAAATTGATCGTTCAC